TAGGGCTTATTTTTGGGGTAGGTATTATTATTATTTAGTCTTTTTCACAAGGCCTTCTATTGTCTTGTCTTCCTTAATCTGCTTCAGTAATACTTCTAAAATCCATATAAATAATAATGGGGACAAAGGACATCCTTGCCTCGTCCCCTTCTGCACTTTAAAGTATTCCATCACATCTAAATTTATAACCAATGCTGCTTTTTGTTCTGTATATATTGCTTCAATTATATTTCGGAATTGCTCTCCTATGTCAATCTTATCCACTACACTATTATACATAAAGTCCCAGTTCAAATTATCAAAAGCTTTCTCCGCATCTGCAAAAAAGAAACCAATCTCCTTCTCAACATGCTTATCATAATATTCAATTGCATCAATCACTATTCTCATGTTGTCCTTTATCTGTCTGTTGGGCAAAAAACCTGCTTGCTCTTCTTCTATAACCTCTTTTAAATATATCTTGAGTCTCTTCGAGATAATCTTGGCTAACAATTTATAGTCAGTATTCAAAAGGGAAATTGGTCTATAATTTTTCACATTTGTTAAATCCTGAGATTCCTTGGGGATAAGCGAAATCGTGGCCTCTTTCCATGATTCTGGTATCTTCTTCGTTTCTCGTATATCATTCATCAAAAGTTCAAAGATTGGGATTAGCTTCTCTTTAGTTTTTTTATAAAATTTTGCTGTGAAGCTGTCTGGTCCTGGAGCCTTTCCCAACTTTGCTTCCTGAATTGCCATATCTATTTCTTCCTTCTTTATTGGGCCATTCAACATCTTTTTAAATTCTTCCGAAACTTTTTCCAAATTTATTTTATCCAAATAGGTTATTATCTTATTTTTATCTATTGTTTTTCTTGCAAAAAGATTTGCATAGTATTTTTTAAAAAACTCTTTTGATTCCGTTCATATCCACAATTTCTTTTCCCCCATCTATTAATTTGTTTATAATTTTATTCTCCCGTCTCTTTTTCAGTTGTCAAGCCAAAAATTTTCCTGGTTTATTTGCCCCCTCAAACGACTTCTGTTGGAGTCTCTTCAAATTCCAATATATTTCCTGATTTAATAAGGCATTTAATTGCTCCTGTAAAATTTGAATTTCGGTGTGTAATGGTTCTGCACGGCTGAGACGATCTCTTTGAAGGTGCAGTCTTTGAACGACTTGGGGGAGAGGAGGTACTGGGCCAGCTCCACGATGGCGGGTCCGCATGACCCCAGTAGGTAGCCTTTCTTCCTGGCCTCATCCGTCACCTGGTAGAAGACTAATACTTGCTTCAGGCCTGTGATCCAGGCTCCCCATTGCTGTGGACGGGCTGTATCGAATGGCGGTACTAGCCCTGATCCCGGAGCAACTGCCATTGTGCTGTTCGTTTGCTGAGGGAAGCGGCTTGTTTACCCTCGGTGCTCATCGATCGGACGAGCACAGGTCGCTATGCGTTGTCTTCCCCTTCCGAGCCCGATAGCCCGGCTTGCTTGCTCAGTGGAATCCCATCCTCGTCGCCATTGAAGTGCAGTGGGTTAGACGCATGAAGTAAGCATGGAGACTGATGTAGTGATCAGTATACTTTACTGGTACACAACAAAGACATTAAACAATGGCCGGGTGGCCAACTATATACATCCCTGGGGACACACCCCTAGGTCCCATTGGCGGGTTTGAATCTCCTGCCACGGTCCCATTGGTCCCCCAGTGGAGAGACCAGGATCCTAGTCCCCATTGTTATTTCATCCTCAAGCTCCGAAGTGTGCGCTGGCATCTGGTGGCGGCCAGCGGACACAACACCCATCCAGCTCATTATGGTATTCTCCTGCTGGCAACTACGTTCCGGTGTCTCCAACAGAGAAAGACCTTTCCCAGGGCCCCCTGCCTCTTCCTCTCATCACATATTGCTCTTCAGTGGGGGGTGTGACAGTCAGGACAAAGAGCCTGGAAGAAGCCAAAGCTCAGTTACCTGAATTTGCTGTTGTAGGCCTGGCCAGCCAAAAGGGGAGATACACTTAAATGACTACATTCTCCAATAAGGTTAACTGGGCTCAGGAAAGCATGTTTTTCTAAAATGTATTTTATTGGAATGGCAGCATATAATTTACAAGCATGACAAAATATCCCCCCCCCACTTCCATAGTTCTCTCCTCCTCATAGTAAGGCAACCGGCAGGGGGTGGGGGGACTTACGAGGAGCAACAGCAAGGCCCAGCTTTTGTATCGTGACCAGTGTTCCCTCTAAGCTGATTTAGTGTGAGCTAGCTCACAGTTTTTAGCCTCCAGCTCACAGATTTTTGTCTTAGATCAGGGAGGATGGCAGTCCAGAGCAAACTAATTTATGCAGGAGCCAAATCGCTCGCTCACAACTTTAATGCCAGTAGCTCACAAAGTAGAATTTTTTGCTCACAAGACTCCACAGCTTAGAGGGAGCATTGATAGTGACATGTCTACATCACTGCCTACGTGACCCAGAAGTGACGTCATCACTTCTGGGATGTTGGGATGACACTCTGGTATCTGGGCAACAATTCTATTGTAAATTTGTCTTGGATGGCAGGTAGAGGAGAGTCCATTGGAGATCCCCTGTGAGTTTGGTGTCTCTAGCACACCGAAGGGGGGATTATATTGCATCATGAACCTCACAAACTGAACTGGTTTCTTTAGCCCCCTAAACATTCATTATGGTTTGCGGTTCATGAACTGGACACACCATGAACCACGAACTGAACTGAACCACATTCTCCTAGTTCATGCACACCCCTAACCATGACTAAGTACCCTTGACCTTAGAAATGAAGCAAGTGAACTGATGACCAAAGCCAGGGCCTTTGCAGTGGGGGCACCATCTCTCTGGATAGTTGTTCCCAGGGTGTCTGGCTTTGTTAGTGTTCATCCACACTAGGGGGTGGAACTTGTTCCCTCTTTTTGGAGATGAACTAAGTTTAGTCATTTGTTTTGCTCCAATTTGTTTTGCAACTAGGTACAATATACCAGCAAATCACTTTTTGGTGATACACTAGTTTGGTGTAGTGGTTAAGAGCATGGGCTCTAATCTGGGAGGACCGGGTTTTATTCCGCACTCCTCCACATGGTGTGACCTTGGGTCAGTCATAAGTTCCTTAAGAGCTGTTCTCTCAAGGGCAGTTCCTGAGAGAGCTCTCTCAGCCCCACCTACCTCACAGGGTGTCTGCTGTGGGTATGGGAAGGGAAAAGGATTGTAAACCACTCTGAGACTCCTTTGGGTAGTGAAGGGTGGGGTATAAATCCAATCTCCTCTCACCTCTCCAATCTCCTTATTGTTTTGTCCTTCCAATAGGCTGTCTTCTAGTAAAATTGTCTTCTGGTAAGCTGCTCTGGATGCAAGGTTCTTTTTGAAAAGTAGGGTATAAATACATTTATGAATAAAAATGGGGAAGACTTCACCCATCTGTTAAGGATTTGTTTTTCTATCCGAGCAGAATTAAGTAAATTGTCCCTTCCACACACACACAATTGAATGTCAGAGTAAAATGTGACGGGAGCATTATACGGAGGAGTTAATAATCGCAATATTTGTAGTTAGTTTTCAGGTCAACTGAATCTTCAAGAAGAGCCATGGGTGGGGGAAGTTCAACACCAGTCAGCAGTGAACCTGAAGAGAAGTCTGCCAAGGAAGGAGGAATCCTCTCAGGAAAAACCATGCTTGACATTGCCATCACAGGGGTATCAGGTACTGGCAAATCATCCCTTGTCAATGCCCTGAGGGGCCTATCAGATTTTGATGAAGGTGCAGCTGAAATTGGTGTGAAGGAAACAACAACAGAGCCAACTGGTTACCCCCACCCCACCTTTCCAGATGTCACAATATGGGACCTACCAGGAATTGGGACACGTAATTTTAAACCCAGGGAATACGCAAAAAAGGTAAATTTTAGCCAATATGATTTCTTCATAATCGTCACCTCTGTTTGCTTCACTGTCAATGACATCCTGCTATCCCGGGAAATTCAGAAAATGAAGAAGCGGTTCTACATTGTGAGGTCCAAAGTGGACTTCCGCATTGAGAATGAAAAACGGCGTCCAGACTTCAGTGAGGAAACAACCCTTCAAAAAGTCAGGAAACATTGTTTTGATAATTTTGGGGAGGCTGGTATTTCTTCTCCAGAGATTTTCCTCGTCTCCATTTTCTATCTGGAAAAGTACGACTTCCCCCTCCTGCAAAGAAGCTTGGAGAATGAAATTGAAGACCTCAAGATACGTGCCTTAATAGCAGGAAAGAAGAAATACGCGAGGTATGTTGGGTCTAGCTAAGGCACAATAATATTTTCTTGGTTAATGTGTAATTTGGTTGAGAACCCTGACCTGGATGGCCCAGGCTAGTTCCATCTCATCATATCTCAGAAGCTAAGCAGGGCTGGCCTTGGATGTTTTCTGCAGTGTCAAGTTTCTCTGCACCTGCTCTTGTATACCTCCGCTGCTTTCCCTCATTTCCGCTGATGTTTTTGCAGTCCCGGGCACAAAAACGCAGTTTTGTTCCCTGTTTCCCCACAGCATCGGACTTCCCTGTTTCCGGGAGTTCCCATGCTGCGCCGCAAGAGGGTGCAAACTGCATTTTTGCTCCTGGGAGGGAGAAATCATCTGTGAAAATGAGGGAAAGCCGTGGATGAATAGAAGAGCAGGCAGGGGGAAACTTGACACTGCGGAAAACATCCTGGTTAGTACTTGGATGGGAGACTACCAAGGAAGTCCAGGGTCGCTACACAGAGGCAGGCAGTGGCAAACTATCTCTGAACATCTCTTGCCTTGAAAACCCTACGGGATCGCTATAAATCGGTTGCCAGTTTCATTGAAAACCCAGTCTAGTTAGCCTTTCTTTCCCCTGCTCAGTACGGCCTTTTGTGCTCCCTCAGTTTGGTGTAGTGGTTAAGTGCACGGACTCTAATCTGGGAGAACCGGGTTTGGTTCCCCACTCCTCCACTTGCACCTGCTGATGTGACCTTGGGTCAGTCACAAGCTCTGGCAAAGCTGTCCTTGAAAAAGGGCAGTTTGTGTCAGAGTTCTCTCAGCCCCACCCACCTCACAGGGTGTCTGTTGTGGGGAGGGGAAGGGAAAGGAGTTTTTAAGCCGCTCTGAGACTCCAAGTGAAGGGCGGGGTATAAATCCAATCTCTTCTTCTTCTTCTTCAGTGATACTTTGCAGACTGTGTCTCTCTGTCTGCCTCCTGCTTGCACATAAACCCACCCCTGCTCCAGCTACAGAGGAGCAATGCACCCAGTTGGTTATCACTAGCTGTACACCTTAGTAGTGTTGTGTGAAAAGTCGAGCATCATCACCCTGTTTGAGCCAATAAGCTGTAGGATGGGAGATCCAGGCAAATCTTGGGGAGCCTGGCAGTTCTTGGAGTCTTATCTCCTTCCAAAGTGAAGGTTTAGTCTTTAATTTATTGGGCTTTAGAATTCCTGTTCCAAGTAGAAAAAAGGGATCCCGCAAGTAGTCTTGTGAACTTTTGCTTCACTGATGAGGCTCGCGCCTGAGTCGGGAGGGACAGGCATAACAGAAGGGGAAACCAAGCCAGGCCTTTTGGGCACACAAGAGAGTTGTCCAGGGAAGTAAAATCATGAAATCTCTCCTCCCCCATTCATGTTTACTGCATTTTTATCTCCAAGAAGTTCGGGTCACTGTCAGTATTCCCTCTAAGCTGAGTTAGTGTGAGCTAACTCACAGTTTTTTAGCCTCCAGCTCACACAATTTTGTCTTAGCTCAGGAAGGATGACGCCAGAGCAAACTGATATATGCAATAGCCAAATCGCTCACTCACAATTTTAATGCCGGTAGCTCACAAAGCAGAATTTTTGCTCCCAAGTCTCCACAGCTTAGAGCAAGTAGTCTTATGAACTTTTGCTCCACTGGTGAGGCTCACTGGTCACTGTACATGGTTGAGCCCTCTCCCTGCTATTCTGTGAAGGACATTGTAATGTTATCATGTGCTACATTAAGCCAAGAGAGAGTGATTGGCCCATAGTCACTCAGGTTGAGTCTTGGCTGAGTTGCTACTGTGTGTAGATAGGGAGACATGTTCCTTAGATACCTTTGCATATGGATGTTGTCCGCTTTCCAATTCAAGGCCGAATCCACACTAAGCCACTTGATGTAACAGAAGAAACTATTCCTTCCATCACCTCTCATTCCTTTGCTGAAAATGCTATTGGTTTAGGTTCTATACCCAGTTTAAGGAATGCTCTGGTATGAATGATAAAGGATGTTTTTACAGAGGATGAGGAGGAGAAGGATAATGATGAAATTTATATCCCGCCCTACCCACGAGCTGGCTCAGGGCGGGTTACAGGCCACATGCTGTGACAACAAAATATCATAAATGACAAAATTAGACATTAAAATTTAAAAATCAGAATAATAAAATAAGAACCTTTGTAGCGATGCTATATGGTACTTGTGAGCAATGCTCCCTCTAAGCTGTGGAGTCCTGTGATGCAAAAATCCAACTTTTGTGAGCTCCTGGCATTAAAGTTGTGAGTGAGCGATTTCGCTACTGCATAAATGAGTTTGCTCTGGAGCCATCCTTCCCAAGCTAAGACAAAAACGTGCGAGCCAGAGGCTAAAAAACTGTGAGCTAGCTCACACTAACTCAGCTTAGAGGGAACACTGCTCATGAGTGGTGCCGGTGATTTTGGCCACTGGGCACAAAGCCAAAACTGCCGTTAGGGGAGGCCAGAAGACGGAAGAATGTGAATGCCCACCACCTCAACAGGGTGGTAATCTGGTTGTACTAGCTGGGAAGGAATATTGATTTTATTTATTTGTGAAAACATTCATATACTGCCTTTGTGAAAACATTCATATACCGCCTTTCCTTAGAGTTCAAGGCAGCTTACAATAATAATTAAATAATAATTAATAATTTACAGCAACTAATAATTAAAAACATTTGCTTTTTAAGACTAGTAGCCAACCCCAATAATGATACTATGGGTGGAGTGATACCAGGTGTGAAGAAATGCATTTTTTCCTGGGAGGTTTGAAATGAGCCAAACCTTCACTTTGCATTTGAAAAGCCCCCCCCCTGCAGACAACACACAGGAAGGGGGGGGATTAGAGCCCTTGCTTTCCAGTCAGCCCACTAATGATAGCTTCTTGACAAATTACTTAGTTTCTCTACTATCTTCCAAGAACAAAGGCCATATTGGCTTTCAAATGATTGGAGGACTGGTTCTCACAGAGCAAATTCAAGGAGCATACAACAAATAAAGAAAAGCCTATAACCATGAGTGCTGTTACAGTTACAAATGTGGGGTAGGAGTGTCTGAATAAATCTTTGTTTTCCTTACTAGGTCAACTGCAGCATGGGGAATGACTGGAATTGGTGCTTTCTTCTCAAAACATGTCTTAGGAATTGACCTTGCAGAGTTGAGGGATGCTACAGCACAAAGAAGTCTCAAAGAGGTGGCAGACGAAGCTCGTCAAGAATGGGGTGCACTGAAAAATGCCAAGCTCAACATTGCAATCACAGGTGCATCAGGTGTTGGTAAATCATCCCTTGTCAACGCGATGAGGGGCATGACTGATTATGAAGAAGGTGCAGCCCAGACTGGAGTGGTGCAGACAACTATGGATGTCCATGGGTATCCTCATCCCTCATTTCCCAATGTAACTTTGTGGGACATACCGGGAATCAGGACCCCTACATTTAGACCAGAGGATTACCTAAAGAGGGTCAACTTTAGCCAATATGATTTCTTCATCATTGTTGCCTCAGAACGGTTCCGTGAGAATGACGTCCTCCTGGCCCAAGAAATTAAGAAAATGCAGAAGAAGTACTATTATGTGTTTTCCAAGGTGGATGTCTGTATGGATTCCGAGAGAAGGAGACCCAACTTCAGTGAGGACAAAACCCTTGAGAAGATAAAGAACTATTGCTGTGAGAATCTGAGAGAGGCAGGAGAGCCTTCTCCAAGGGTTTTCCTCGTTTCCAGGTGGCACTTGAATATGTACGATTTCCCTCTCTTGCAAGAGACCTTGGAAATGGAACTAGACGGTCTCAAGAGGCATGCATTCATTCTGGCTTTGCCAGTTTTCTCAAGAGAAATCCTGGAAAAGAAGAAGGCTGCTATGGAGGCCCATATATGGAAAGTAGCCCTTGTGTCTTGTGCTATTGGGGTAGTTCCTGTCCCAGGACTTTCTTTTGCCTGTGATCTTAGCATCTTGGTAGGAGCGCTGCTCATTTTCTACAAGGTCTTTGGGTTGACTGAAGAGTCCCTCCGCAGAGTTGCAAAACAGGTTGGCAAAGATTATGAAGTGTTGAAATCTGCTGTCAAGAAGTCTCCAATGTCTAGTGAGATCACTCCGGAATTTGTAGTGGGTCTCTTGGCCAGGTCATTGCTGTGTGGGTCCCTGATGACATTAGAACTGGTCTTTGATTTTGTACCAGTGTTGGGCTCTCTGGTTGGAGGGGCTAGTTCCTTTGTCACCACATTCTACATGCTGAGGAGCTTCCTGAAGGACATTGTGGAAGATGCTGAGAACGTTCGGGCAAAAGCTGCTGAGCCTTGAGCCTTCTGAAACCAGCACCTGAGGATCCAAGACCCTCATTCGGGAAAATGAGTCCCAGGAATGAAATGTGTGAATGAGGGCACAGGATCAGAGCTTGAGCATGAAAAAGATTTGCATTTCTGTTTGGTTGCTTATTATTTTTCTTTTAACCGACACCCAAAGAGAACTATAGAACCCTTGTGTGGAATGAAAATGTCCATTCAAGTGTTTCAAGAAGACTTTTTCAAGTGTGCCAGTTCAGTGTATCTGACATCTGGAAGCCATTTGAAGCATCTTTGCTAGTCCAGATGGCAGATCTGAGGCTATGAAGAACGGCACGAGCGACAAAGTTCTGAAGAGAGTGTTCTCGAATGACTGCGTGCTTGCCGATAGCTCATTCTTGTGATACTGTTTCCATCTAGGGTTGGCAGGTATGGGCTGGTGTATGGCGGGAAATGGGAGGAGGTGGGAACTTACTGGGAGTGGGGGTTGGGAACATCACTCCCATGCAATGATGCAGCTTCTGGCAGGACTTCTGGTGTCACCCAGAAGTGGTGGTGGTGCGCCAGGACAGTGGTCTAGCACTCACCCCCAAACTCTATAGCTTCCATGGAGTTTCAGGCCAAGCGTTAGAGTGTTGCCTGTGGTGCAACACCACCATTTCTGGTTTGACCTGGAAGTTACATCATCACATGGGGGTGATGACTTCAAACCCCCCCCCCAATGTTTGGCTGGCCTGGTTCCACCTGCCAACCAGCTGGGCATCAGTGGGCAACCGGAGCTGTCCCTGGAGGACTCTCACCATAAGTGGGCAAATGGTAGGCCTATTTCCATCATATAACACAACTGCCCTCAACATGCAGAGTGGGCTTGGGTGCTTGAAATGGTGTTCTATTTGTTTTAGTGAGCATCTTAGATCCACTGGGTCTCCCAAGAGCTGGTCCCAGCCTTTAATGAGGAACTCAACATGTTTATTTGCATATTACACACCTTAGACTTACAGGCCCTAACGGTATCCTCTCAAGATCTTTCAACATCAACTCCTGGTTCTTTCAGACACTGCTAGTTGACAGATTTTCTCTGCTCTAAACATTCACTCTTCGTTAACTGTATTTTTAATGTTATTTTTTATGTAAAACAGAAAAATGGTATAGCTTTTTTTTTAAAAAAACACGTGCTTGTACACAAAGCTTATAGCCAGAATTAAACTTCGTTGGTCTTAAAGGTGCCACTAGACTCAAACTTTGCTCTTTTGCTACAGATCAACACGGCTACCCACCTGAATCTATCTACCAGGTATAATCAGCAGTCTTAAAAGGTGCCATTGTGTTTTGGGCAACTGTTCTGTATTATAACCTTACTAGAAATAAGGCCCGTTGTGGAAATAAATACAACGGGATCTAGAAAGAGGCTCTGGGAGAGTGCTCCGGCTTTGGGCAAACAGTGTCAGTTTGCTGTGGCAACCTCAGCAGGGTATAATGACAGAGTCCACTGTTTTCTCCAGAGGGACTGATCTGTGCTACCCGAAGAGCAGTTGTAATTTTGAGTGATCTGTAGCCCTCACCTGGAGAGTGGCAACAATTGTTACCCAGGCTCCACCCCTCAAATCTCCAGGAATTTCCATACCTAAAGCTGGCAATGCACCAAACAATTACTAAAGATTTTCCAAAACACTACTCTGTCGATACATTGCAACACTTTGAATTAGCACCTGAGCTTTAAGAGCTCTCTAGCTGTCACCTGGAGACTGGCAACAGCTTGTTTGGAGGGTGGGGAGTATGGCATTGTATCTGTCTGAGGTCCCCCTCTTCCTCCTCCTCCTCAGACCCCACCCACAGCAGGCTGCATCCCTAAAATATCCTGGAAGTTTCCAACCTGGAGTTGGCAACCCTATGTCCTTTCCAGGCAACCATCAGCCTACCTTTATCTGCCTGTCTGTCTTCAGGTTTACATCCCCCCCCAGCCTCTGCCTAGGGAAAGGGCAGTCTTTCCCTGCAGTGGGAACCAAAGCAGCTGACATCATTATCCTCTCCCCCGTATGATCCGCACAACTACCCTATGAGGTATATTAAAGTTGAAAGTGTGTGAATGGTCCATAATCCCCCAGGCAGCTTTTAAAACATGAACCTGGGACCTGCACACCATCCTCTGAAGCGCTCTCTGTGGCAGTAATGGGGTGACTGCTGGCACCTTTTCCTATCATTTTTTGCCTTGAGGTATTCTGCTTGTGGTGTGATCTGTCTTACCCCCAGGCAGCTTTTAAAACATGAACCTGGGGCCTGCACACCATCCTCTGAAACGCTCTCTGTGGCAGTAATGGGGTGAGGTTTAGGCAGGGTAGGTCAACAATGGACCACTGCCTTCTTCTTCAGCATCTCATTGACAAATACTCTGGCAAAGGCCCCTCGTCACTTTATGCTGCGTTTATTGATCTTAAAGCGGCCTTCGACTCCATTTCTAGATCTATATTATGGAGAAAACTTGAAGCCTCTACAATAGACAGGAGACTTTTAGCGCTCATTCATGCCCTTCATGAACAAACATCTTTGAGGGTTAGATATACCAGGTTGGGGCATTTGACTGATAAAATTCCCACTTTAAAGGGAGTTAGGCAAGGATGTATGCTAGCGCCTGCGCTTTTTAACTTTTACCTCAACGATGTTGCTGGATGTCTCAATATTATGGCCTTTGGCAGGAGACCCAAATTAAGAAAGTGGAGTGTAAATGACCAGAATCTTGAACAGGTAGCTAGCTTTCGCTACCTAGGCATGATCATCCAAGCCTCTGGATCTAAGACTGCCCATAGCCAGGCAGCAGCATGCTCGGG